CAAACATTCCTTATTAGAAATATTAAACCAAAGATTAAAAAACTAAAAGAAGTATATAATGTCTTGAAGCTTGATAAGTCGATTCATTTCTTAAATGAAAAAAGTACAAATATAAAACTGCCTTTTTTTTCCTTTCGTTTGTTATAAAATGATAATGGAAGTGTCGATTTTCGGTAGAATATTGTGAAGTGTCGATGTTCTGGTAGATTTTTTGTGATGGTACCGACTTTCTCAGTAAATTTCGTGAAGATGCCGTTTTGATTCATTTTTGTGAAGGTTCCTAGGAACGGTACCAAAATTGATCTGAATTAGTCCCTGCATGTACACTAGAAAGACTAAAAATTCAAAGTAAAATTTTAAGTATTGAGAATAGTATCACTAACACTCACTTTAGTGTCAAAATTTTATTTCAGGTTCAAGCTTTAGGTCTGGTATCCGCTTACGTAAACTGTGAAGACACAAGGCGGTGGATTCGGCGGTTATCAGCCCTTCCTCTTGTACCTATCCACCAGATAGGGGATAACTTCATGACGATTACAAGAGATGCTCCAACAAGCCGCCAAATTAAAAATTTTACAGCGCACATGAAAATTACATGGGTAGATGCTGGTGCTCAGTTTAGTCCGCAAGTCATGCAGCAGATTTTAGCAGTGATACAGCTTCTTAACTATGAGTGCAATTCTATTTATTATTCCAGAAAAAAAGCAATATCAGTTACTTCTTAATTTTCATACAAATAATTTGTTCAATAATTTAAAACTTTAGATTAGATTCAAATACAGATTTAAGCAATATAGTTAAAACTGGCAAGCTGATTAGTTATTTTTTATTTATCCAATATCATTTTAAAGGAGGCAGAATAGCATTTCTCAATTGTTTCAAGGGGGCCACTAGGTACCATGCAAAATAAATGGTGAGCAACATTGAATAAAAACATGCAGTGTATAAGGAAACGTCCATAACGTGTTAATGAAATAATTAGTAGAGTTATTTTTCAATTTCAATTTAAATTATTTTTCAGGGATAAAAGTGAAATTAAATATAGAATGTAAAATAATCATAATATCTAAAAGTTAATTTGAAAAAGTTCTGTTATTCATTTGAAAAATGTTTCAGGAAAAACATTTAAATGCTGAATTTATTTATAATTTTTTTGTTTTTATAATTTTAAACGTACTTTAATTTTTCTCTTAATGAATTTCTTAAAAGTGCAGTTTATTTGAATAAGATAACCACGCACACACAAAAAAAAATTNAGGCAGAATAGCATTTCTCAATTGTTTCAAGGGGCCACTAGGTACCATGCAAAATAAATGGTGAGCAACATTGAATAAAAACATGCAGTGTATAAGGAAACGTCCATAACGTGTTAATGAAATAATTAGTAGCGTTAAGAGAAATTATTTTTTAGGGATAAAAGTAAAATTAATATAGAATGTAAAATAATCATAATATCATTTGGAACCAGTTCGACAATCGTGACAATGTACGGACAAACAACCATGTTAAGGGGTGGCACTCCAAATTAAGCCGTAGATGAGTGCCATCAAATCCAAATGTCTATACGTTCATAGACATGACAAAGAAAATTGATCATGAAAATGATGCCGAGAAAATAATGTTGCTGTGTGAGCACAGAACAGAAGAAAAAAAAATACAAGCATTCCAACGAAAGACTGAATATTTTAAAGACAAGGATAGATCAAATGCCTTTAAAAGCGTATATGGACTCAGCAGCGGACAGTTTAAAAAGTGCTTAATCATATGTTATGGTGTTTTTAAATTTTATTTCATGTTATATACACATACCCTCCAACTGTAGTTTCAGAAATCTTCTTTTCTGACGGTAGCAAAATTAATGTCTTAATATTTAAAAAAAATTAATTTTAGCTTAACTTGTCCACTATTACTTATAAAATTGCAGGCCATATGGCTAGATTCTTAAGTTCTGATAAAAGTTTTATGAGAGATCCATTTGCTTTAAAAATTTCTACTTTGGTTCGCTACCACTAGAAAGAATTATTTTCAAAATCCTCACAAGTTGGAGGTTATGTATACATAATAAATTTTATATTTTTGCTCTTGTAAGTATTAGAATCATAAATAGAAACAATATTAACGTATTATCCCGTCAACCATTTTCACCACCTTCGTTATCTTCCAGATTTATTTTTACAAAGTAATTTATCATGAAGTAAGAAAAAATACGAAAAAAACTTCTTACATGCAAAAAATGAGAAAAAATTATAGTTTGAACCACATATAAATTTATTTTCTGAATGGGTTGATGGTATAATACTTAAGTAGCATAAAAAAAAGCTACACAAACACATATGTTTACACTGTTGCCAAGGAAACTTAATACTAAAGATACCTCATTTCTCTTTATACTAAAAAAGGCACTAAGCAAAATGGGTTTATAAAGAGATATAAAAAATAATTATAACTCTTGAACTTATCTCCGTCTTTAAATAGTAAATTAGTTAACACATTTTAAATAAACCATAATGAAACTTCTAAATTCGAAATCCAAGACGGTTTGACGGTTCAGCTAAATCATCTAGTGGTACATCACTCAACGATAAGTTGATGGTAGGTCCTCAACTGCAATTAGACATTACCTTATTGCTTCTCAAATTTAGAATGCACAAAGTAGCAGTCACAGCCGACATAAAAAAGATATACAGGCAAATTATAATGCAAGATTCAGACTTTCAAAGAACAGATTGGCGCAACTCGCCTTATGAAGCTGTTCAAGATTTCAGAATAACAAGAATTGCGTACGGCACTGCATCAGCTCCGTACCTTTCAGTGAGATGTTTGCAGAAGTTAGCAGAGGAAGAAGCAGACAAATATCCAATAGCTTCTAAAGCATCTCTCGAGGACTTTTACGTTGATGATTTGATGTCAGGAGCCAGTTCAACCTCAAAGGCAATCGAACTTTGTAGACAATAGACGGAAATGTTGTCAAATGCTAAACTCAACTTAAGAAAGTGAGCTTCTAACTCTGCAGAATTTTTGAACGAAATTGATACAGATTCGCGTTCATCAAAGACGTCCCTGAGCATAGACAATGATAACAACATCATAAAAACTTAAGGTATCCTGTGGCATCCCGTAACAGATGTATTCCTTTTCAAAGTTGATCAATCATCTCTTGAACTTTCAGTAACAAAAAGACATTTACTTTCCTCCAAAGCAAAGACCTTTGATCCTCTTGGATGGCTATCTCCAATCACAATTCAATTCAAGCTAATCGTGTAACTACTATGGAAACGCCAATTGCAGTGGGATGATAGTGTAACACCAGATATTGCAGATAAATGGAAACAACTTCAGAAAGATCTTATGTTTGAACATCAAACTTCCTCGATTTTTACTTCGCGAATCAGGACCCCTACCATGAACTACTGGGAATGGAACGAAGATTCCCGCCTGTAACGAGAAGCCAGAGAAAGTTTGATTCCATGTCATCCCTAAATCGTACCACGAACACTCACCGGGAATCAGACATTCCACGATTCTGGTTCTAAGAGCGTGGCTTGAATTTAACCAATCGTTGAATTTATGCAATATTTATTTCCGCAATATGGCAACGTTGTTTTATCAACCGTGTGTTTTCTTAAAATACTAATTTCGTGCACTGTGTATTTTCTTTGCGTGCACTGTGTATCTTCTAATCTTAATTATGGGTAAAAAAATTACTCCCACTCAGATGGAAAAATTGGTCTCCTTTATGGAGAAAAATCCGCAACTGTACAAAGGGTAGTTGACGCCGAGTTTCACCAATAAAGACAGAGTGAGAATGTGGCTGGCCTTGCAGCTGGAGTTGCATGCGATTGGAAGCTGCCATAAAACTGTTGAGAAATGGAGAGAAGTAAGTATTTTGTGTAGTATAAATTTATTTTCATGGGCATCGTTGGTGGTATTTGTTCCCTTTCAATGTTTCTAACTTAGAAAGAGAATTTTCGCAAAATAACACCGATTTCTCTAAGTTATAAACAAACAATAAATGAGCTTAAAAATTTTGCAGACCTTTGATTAAATTATGATTTTTTTTTCTATTGTAACTTTATTCTTTTTGTTTTCTTAACAGTTGTTAGTTGACTCCCTGCGATGCCCATTAGTGTGTATAACATGTATCCACATTTTTCAAAATTTTTGGTTAAAAAATAGGTTTTAAAAATTTTTGTGATCTGCTTTATGAAAAAATAAAACCTATTTATTTACAAAACAAATTGTTATAACTTAAGTGAAAGAGGTAAATTATGTTTAAACATATTTTGTCCTTAGTGTGAAGAATAGTGTTGTTTGTCATCACATAGCAATTTCATATTAGGAGGTGATGATGTTAATTTTATTCTCAATTTTGTTTCGACACCAAATCTTTTCAGACACTTATATTTTTAGTACGTTAAGGCTGAGAAAGCAGCTTCACTCATATAAGGCAATAAATATTATATCAGTAAGAATTATATCAATGTCTATTTTTCTCAGGGAGTAGTGTCTGAATATTTTGAAGAAATAATCATGCATGCTCCTTTACAAAATATTAGAAAAATTCTTATTGATATTACTTTTTCAAAAAGAAGTAATTTATTTTTTGTTACTTAAAATTCTTAGTTGAGAAAATAGTCGTTCTTCTGGGAAATATACCCTTCTACGATTATGGCAGTTCTATGATTTTGTTTTTAGTTATCTTGGCTCACTGTCAAAAATCGCTAGGACTTGGTGATTATTTTGTCACTCACCGTTGCCAAAAAATATGAGCCATAAGAGTTGAAACTAGTTTTTAAGAGTTAATTAATATTACAATATTTAAGACTTAATTAAGATTGTTGCTAAGAGGTTTTGTATATAGAGATTTTGAGTTCACAAAATTTTTTTAGTTATATCTGAATCTGGCAAACTACTTAAAAAAATTTCATTTGCTTGGAAATATATATAGTGTCTCAACTGAGAATTATGCATCCTCATTATTAGATATAATTAANATGCGGAAGGTGGATGTATCAAATCTGTGGACAAATGGATGAAGGTAAGAAAGATAGTTTATCAATTTTATGTCACTAATTGCACTAGTTAAATTTATTGGTAGCCAATTTCGCTTAAAACAAGGTACCAGTTTAAAATTCTGCAACAGAATTTAGCATAAAATTAGTCAATTCATTCTATATAACATCTAATTATTATGTGTTTTTGACAACAATTAATTAATATTTCTTTTAAATATTATTAAAAATAAGTTTTCTAGTTTCTCCAATTAGAAACATAACAAGGCAATGATATTTTGTTAATTAAAACGTAATATTAATTTTGATAATTATTAATCTTACTGCACCTTTTTATTATGAAAACCATCTGTAATATATCATTTCACAATGTAAATAACCTTTGAATTAGCAAATTGAACTGGAATACCAAATAGTTTACTGTGTTGGATAAAAGTAATATCCTTAGACATTTCTTCTGTGGTTAGTTCTAAATAAATATGCATAGCAGAATAAATTAATCATTTCAATAATTTGAAAACTAATATGAAGCAAAGTTCGAACCATGAATTCAATGGATAACACTTTTACACTCGGTTCATGTCGATTTTATCATTAATCTAATTAATTCCCCTTTTTAGGTATGAATGTTTGAACATTTTTTAAATTAAGTTGTCGTTTAATTTAGCAAGAGAATAAATCTTTTCCAATTCCTTCTTTAGTAATGGATATTTGAACATTTTTTTAAATAAGCTGTCGTTAATTTTAGAAAAACAATAAATCTTTTTTTATTCCTTTTTTGTTATAAATATTTGAATTTTTTTTTGAAGTTTAATAAGTTTTTATTTAATGTAAAGTTTTCAAATGTTACGTTTAATGTCTGATTTTTACACAGTTTTTAAATACTCAGATATATTTCTAGCGATATAGGAAATTATTACAACCAATTTTGGTATTCTTTGTAACACCATTTAAAAAAGTGTTTTTTGTGAATTTTTGCAGGCTTATAAATTAACGTAAATTTTGTTTATTAAATAATTCATAATAAATCTTGTGTAATTCTACAGTTTCTCATTTGTTTTTTTTTGTTATAGTCGTGGTCTGATTACAAGCAAGAGGTAAAGAAGAAATATCTGAAAAGAGTTAAGCATGCCAATGGCACCGGAGGAGGTCCCCCTCTGAAAGAACTGACAGAGTTGGAGGAAAGAGTCTTAGCACTAATTGGAACAGATGCATACATGGGCCTCACTATAAAGGAGCACAGGCCTTCCCCAGTAAGTTCATTTTTGTTTTATATTTCAATATGTTAATAAAAATTGTCAGCTTTAAAATTTCATGATTTTTGACAATCGTTTAAAACAATGCCAGAAGTTTTTTTTATTTTTTATGACAGTTAAAACAAAATAAAACTGACAAAAACTTTCCAAGCCTGCCTAATTATGATATTTTTTAAAGTGCTTAAAAATATTTTTTTGACTGCTTGAAAAGTACTTAAAAAGTGCTTATTTTTTGTTGAATAATTTGGCTTTGCACCCTGAATTAGTTTTCCTTATTTTAGATAGAAACCCAATATAAAGTTTCTGCATGCTACTTCTTATCTAAAAAATTACTGCTTGAAGGTTTAATATTGTCAATCCAGAATTGATTTTGTTAGAAAGTGATTCCTGATTGAAAGTGGTTTTATTAGATTGTAGATTTTGCAAATGACAATTTTTCAGAACATTGGAATATTGTTTTACTTTTCTTTAATTGAATTTTTAATATTATAGGTCAATGAATCTATTGAAGTAATTTTGCCTGGGTCTCCAGCAGATTCATTTGTAGAATTAAACTTCAGTCTGGATGAAGTTGAGTCAGTGGCTGAGCCAAGCTACAGCCAGTATTCAGCCAGAGACACCCGTGGAGTCCCCAACACCTGTTGGAGCGGCGGGGACCTCTTCAGCACACGAACAAGTTTCGGCAAAGAGGCAGGTTTTGAAAAGGAAGAGAAACCGAGGTCTCGTAATCCCACCTGAAAAAGCTGAGCGTCTAATAGAAGCTCAATTGAGCAACAATGAAGCTATTAGGACTATATCGGAACATTTGAAAGAGGCCAATCGGCTCGCAGAAGAAAGAAACGGCATTGAGCTGAGGAAGGCAATAGCTTTCGAAAATATATGCAAAGTGTTGGGCAATAAAAGTTTTATCTAATCTTTATTTGTTTCATTAGTACTTATTTTAAAATGAAATTATATAGTAGTTTGATAATTTTTAGTGTGAAATGTTTCATTGCCTTGTGCTTACCAGTGTTTTTGATATTTTATGAATAATGAGCACACTTGGCTTTTGGTAGGTAGCATTGGAATCTAGAGTAAAATTAAGTATTTTTTAAGACTGTTAGGGCATTTTTCATATACATCACATCTAATAGATAGGCTTTTTAATATATTACAACAATTTATATCATAATTCTGAAAGTTAATTTGCTCTATTTGTTCGTAAACAGCTATAAAACAAAGTCTTAAAATTTAAAAGGAATAATGTGGATTTATATTAAATTAGAGATAGTATTGGAAACCTTCAGTTAATTATATGCAATATTATTGATTGTTAATTATAAGTAATATCTTACTTAATGCAAATAAAAAACTTGGTATAAAACATTTCGATGTAACCAAAATCCATCAAATTTTCTTGTCACTTATGCTGCCACTTCGATTGGCTCAGTATTTTTGTGCTCCGAGTCTGTTATTTACTAAACTTCTGTATATTTTTCTTGGTTTTTTAGTAACAATTTATTCTGCAGTTATATTTGTGTATTTGTTGCTAACTTGAAGCATCATCTATCGCTTATAAAGAAATTTAAACATTGCTAATTTGTTAACAGTTAAGTAAAAAAATTAGTAAATAAACAAATATAAAATTAATAACAAATTTTTATTCAAACAAAATAAATTTTCTCATAGTAACAACAATTCACAACATAGTAACAATTCTATCGCGAATTCTCACCGCGTTTCTACCGTCACATGCCGGCAAACCAGTATTGAATGGCATGTCCTCTTCTGAGAGGGTATCATATGTAATATGATACCCCCCATCTCTCATGCACATATTGTGCAGTACTGCACATGCATTTACAATCATGCCAGCAATTGTTGGTGTGTAATGCAGCACTCTTTCTTTTAAGAGGCATCTGAACCTTCCTTTCAACACCCCATTGCATCTCTCGATGATGTTCCTCCCGAGTCTGTGCCTGAAATTGTAATTTTCTTCCTCCACAGACGTTTCGGTGAGAGGGGTCATGAGCCATGGCTCTAGGGGATAGCCAGAATCACCTAAATAAAGAAATTAATACAAAGATTAAAATGGTACATCTAAGTCTTAAAATTATTATATAACTTAAAATCAATTTGATAAGATAGTTACAGTCGGACCCCTATTTAACGAACTTCCCTTTTACGAATTTCTCTATTTTGCGAATCTTTTTGAGAAACCAATAACATTTTGGAAATTTCTTCGTAAAATAACTTCCGAATACCGAAGTCAATTTTCTATTTAACAAACTTTTCTGTGAGATCCACTTTCTCTATTTTCCGTAAAATTTCAGAACATGTTAAACTTGTTAACTCATTTTATGAGGGAAATGCCCTTTAATTGATTTTTGAAGCCACTTAACTTTTAGAGAATGTAGTAAAATCCCTTTCCTCCCCCCTTTTTTTATTTGCATTTCAAGCGAAAAACTCAAAGGAAATTAACGGATTTTATCAGTAGCAATTAAACTTAAGAACACATTTGGTAATGCATGTTTAACATTACTTTTATAATTAAATGCAGATATAATTTTATACATAAATTTAGCTTTTCTTAGTTGAAAATATATATAGCATGTATTGGATAATATTTTGCTCTGTTCTTGCATTCCATGCAGATTTCAAGATAAAGGTGTATCCATTGCTATTTTAATTTTGTCTAGGGTTTATGAATTTAAAACCTGCTTTATGCGGTTTAAGTATTTCAAAAGGAGACTTTCTATTTAGCGAATTTTCTGGGTAACGAACTTATTATCGGGATTTGGCGACTTCGTTAAATAGAGGCCCGACTGTATTTAATAAGAGGTGATCCAAAAGGCAGTTTACTTTTCAAAACATTATAATTTTTTAGCTATTTACAATAAAGCAATTCCACTTGCTCATAAACACGAATTTTTTGATACAAAAAAAAATATTTGTTTGAAAATTATACAGTAAATTAACTTTTGGATCACATGGTGCATTAAAAAAAATGGGACTACCAGATTTATTGTAAACGTAGTTCAATATGCTTAAAAGTTTATTAGGATATCTCATAAACAAAAAAGTTTCTGAACATTAAATAAGAGCTCTAAGTATCTATGAAATAAAAATGATATTTTGAAACCTTCTAATTGCTTTTTTTAATAAAAAATTAACAATTGATTTTTAAATAAAGAAGTGTTTAAAATACCAGAGTAACTAAATCTATTTTAAATGAGCTTACATGAAAGATTTTTCTACAACTTACCTAGAAGCCATGTGATTTTTAATCTGGAAGAGTTGTCGATGAACCAATCCCTCAGAAGACTCATCTTCCAAATGTAGGCATCATGCGTGCATCCAGGAAATCTGGCTGAAATGCTCATGATTTGCATATGCATATCGCAAACCTGTTATAAATATTAAAAAGAAAATTTTACTGATGCAACTGCAAAATATATATTTTATAAAATTTTACAGGTAATTGAAGCAATATATAGGGAAGAGTCGGGAAGCCCCGCCCACCTAAGGAGTATTGCTTATATTTCTGCATAATATTGAGTAATAATCAATATTTTTGTATGTTTCTATTGTTTTATCATCTAATTAAATAATGCAAAAAGAATAAACCAAAAAAAGAATAGTTCAACTTAAAAAAAAAAAAGAAATTTAAAAAAACATGTTTTTCAGCTCTTTTCAAAATGTGCTGGGTATAATGTCCCAGTTACAAAAATTATGTTTTTTGACTATTTTTTCAGGTGTAAATGAAAATGACCAATGTATTGACAATAGATGAACCTCATTTATCATTTTTATCACAAAATTATTTTGTTTATTACATATTTCTATACTTTTAGTGAATTCTATCATTTAATAACAACAAATGTAATATTTTTTATTATTATTAATGTATATTAATATAGTTTAATATTAATATATATTTATATTAAATATTTAAAGAAAATTTAATTTAAGCAAATCTTTGCAACCGTACATTTACCAAAGAAATAAAATTGGGCAGTGATACCCGACATTCATGCGAGCGGGGCTACCCAAAATCCAATTTTTTTGTAAATTTGTAATTGCTCGAACAATTTTTCACATATAAACTTCTTTCTTTGTGCAAATTAAACTTAAGACTACATACTTTAATGCTGTATGTATAGAAAAAATTATTTTTTTAGTATTACAATAAAGTTTAATTGAAACATTCAACCAATTTTTCTTAATTTCATGACTACTGTACTCAACATATTTTCAAAACCATTGTTTACCATGTTACCAGCTGCTACTTGAAACTTTGAAAATAATCTTTTTTTAATATAATAATTAATGTCCGATAGAAACATTGAAAAAACATTCTTTACATATGAAATTGACAGCGGGGGTACCCGACACTCACCTATATGTCAATTACTTTAACTAATTTGTAGATTGGAAACTCTGTTTTAAGTTTTGCATAAAATGTAAACTCATTGACTAAATTAATGTATCATATTTATATTATTAATTCAAAAATGAAACATCTTACCAGTTGAACATTCAGAGAATGAAAATTCTTTCTATTCACATAGTTTTTCTCAAGATGCTTGCCATCATTCTGCGGAGCAACAATGGCCACATGAGTGCAATCCAAAGCACCTATCACTCCCGGGAAACCTGAGTATTCGAAAAATTCTCTTTTCAACATTTCTCTTTCACTGAAATAAAGTTGAATAAATGGAGATGCTATACATCACACTCAATCAAGACAATAAAGTTAAAAATTAGTGTTATAGAAAATAACAAAATTTCAACACTGTGTTTTCAATAAATTTTTTAAGCAGCTTTCAAAAGCAGTATAAGGTGTATTTTTATAAACAAGAGCTCAAAATACCAAAAGAAGTAACCCAAGAGCAATTTAATTTAGGATAAGTCACTGAGTGTGCAGTAAGTTTAACAGTTAAGTGAGTGCTCAATTTCGAAAGTTCATTGTGTCACACTTAAAAAAATAATAATATCTGATCAATATATATATATATATAATGTGTGTGTACAGGATCTGTTACAGTCAACTGAATAAATCTGACTGCAATTAATGCCCGAACGGGCTGGACAAAATGAGTAATATGTGAGAACTCTTTACATTAACCAGCCAAATTTCTTTTGTGATCTAATTGACAATAGCAAATGCATGTTATCAGTTATTTACATTAACTGAAAGATTGGTTTACTATTAATAATAACTCTTTTTTTTTTACATTGATTTCTACATGCAAAGTCAGAGATGAATAAACTGAATCAGCTAATGTTTTCCTTTAATTTTAAAAATTAATTGTTTCATTTGCTTTATACGACACATTTTAACAGTACAAAAAATTTATAAAAATTGAAATGGAAAAAAAAAACAAAACAATACATCACATTACATTATTCCTAACATAAATCATGAAAAGCAACGCTGTTTTTAAGGTAGTTGATGTGTATTTAATAATGGGTTCTTGCTTGTATTTACAAACTTTTTCTAAATAAATGATCTGAAAATAAGTTTTTAATTAATAAAAGATAATGCAGCTTTCTACAAACATTTGTATTAGTTATTAACCTATTCTAGTATTTATAATTAATCATATAATGTTTATTGAAGCCATCAGAATTCAATATATATATATTAATTTACATTCGTGTTAAAATTTTATCAGATTTTAATATCCACCACTAAATGCAATTAAAAGGAAAATCAAGGTTGTCAATAATTATTTTCATTGCAAGTAATTTTGTGAAAGAAAAAAAGAGAAAATATATAGGGAGTTAAACTGAAATATAACATAAAAATTTTGGAAAGATTTCCGTTTTGCGATTTACGGCAAGGCAAGCATTTATTTACCCATATTTTTTTAAATTAGCAAGTATAAATTCCATTTGGAGTATTGGCGATTTTTTTACAATCTGCTTACATTGTAAAAAATCGCCAATGCTTACCTAGTGCTGTAAGCATATATAATCATGAGAATTTTATCCCCATGCTTTATTACTGTAATAAGCTTTAGATTTTTTAACTTATCGAACAATAACCAAACAAAAAAAGCTAAGTAAAATAATAATAAATATCACTGCAAAATCACTTGTTTCAAAATTTTATAAACTTAAGTTTTAAGTTGAATAAAAATTAGTTATAACTGATAATTAAGAAATTCTAGGGACTTATTTTCTTGTATAAATGAACAAAATAAAGTCATGTACTTACTTTAGTTTCGACAGAGAAGGCATTTCTACGTGAAGTCAATGGCTCCAACGCTGGCCGAAGTTTTTCAATAAGTTCCGCACATATATCTTTTGTCAATCTGAATTGACTTCGAAACTCGTTATCTGGATACCGAAAAACTTTAAACCTTTCAGGCCGATTAATCTTCCTTTTAATTGTGTTTCTATCACTTTCTTCAGCAATAGCTAATTGTAAGACAGAAAACAGCGCCATTTTGATCATAAAAATAAACAAAATCTTATCGAAATCTAGATTTCGCTTACTCTTAAACCTGCCGGAATCGGATTCGTAATTATTTCGCATCGGAATTTAGTTCCGAGCGGAATCAATAGCTCGTAATACGGCCTAACTGACATTCACGGATTTATGACGTCACGAGAGCTTCATTTCGATCGGAATCTGATTCCGTGAAGCTGGTAATAGGGCCCCAGTAATCTTTTCTATCTCATGTTCATGAACAGCATTTAAGAGACGATTGCCTAAATCAATTTTACTCGGGGGTTTATACCCAGGTCTTAGCATTTGCATTAGCTTAAGAAAATGTGGATATGTTGAAGTAGAAATGTTGAATTATATGAGTTAGATCTGAGAAATATATAGAACAGTCTACAAATCTAGTGTATCTTTAAGATTGGTTGGCATTTTCACTATAAATGGGCTAATACCTGTAGTCTTGAATTTCTTTATCTTTATGTCAGTATCAGTAGCAGTCAAATCTTCATCACACTGAATACGCTTATTACAAGGATCTGGCAGATTTTGGCTTTCAATTTGAGCTTTATTATCTGTTCCTCTGTTGTAAGTAGCAGTAACATCTGTGTAAGAAAGGAAAAGGAGCCATAAGTGTAATTCTATTTATTTTTTATTTTAATGTAAAAAAAAAGAACTTAAAATATTATGATATGAATTAAAAAATAACAGTATAATAATAATAAAAAAATTATTACCTAAAGCATCTTTTTCTTGTTCACAATCTTTCTTCTTTTCTACTTCATTTTTTGCTACACACACTTCATGATGCATTTTCATTCTTGATACCAATCCTTGCATTTCTTTTTGGCATAAGTTACATATTGCTTTAGATCCTTTCTTTCCTAACTCAATTTTTTCATTATAATAGACCCAAATGGGATCTTTTTTCCTTCCAGCAGACATTTCAAATTATAATTAAAGCTAATAATAAGTAAATATGACTATCCCAGCTACCCTAAGTATGCTACCAAACACTAATTCACAACTCAAAGAATGAAAATGGCGCAAAACAAAAATAAAGTTCAAAATTAGCACTACAACTGCTACCAAAAAATATATACTTATACTTCAACTAACAATATGTACTACAACTTCTACTCCAGGTGCTGCTGTTGTTGTTTTTGTTTTGTAATGTTCCA